ATAGATTGAGCGTTTACTTTGTCCTATATCAACAGGGCATTGTTACCATATCCCTTGCATCGGAAACGCGGTCCGAATTTCGGTTCGAATCCGATGCGAACGCAGCTTTAACCTGTAAAGTTCTATTCACCTTATTCTTATTACTGCAATTATTTTCACTAGCGCAAACTAATAATTAATTATTCATCAATTCAAATGGATGGATGAAATAATTAATTGCAGGATGTTTGGATGTGATATTGTTCCTTGTATTATTGGAAACAATCCCCGTAGGACTTCGTGAACTTGGTTAAGAGATCAATGTTAACTACTGGTAACACATTAATTAAGCCTATAGCTAAACGCTGTTGTTTGTATTTGTAAAAGTGGTTTCAATCTTAGTTTAAGTGGATGAGAGTCGATGCTGCCAAATTGAATTTTCCTTTTAATCTTTCAAATGCAGCATCGCTCGTTTGAATTTATATGAACGATACACTAAAACTCCAATGCCGAAAGCAAAACTATTTTCTTCTCTCCGAATTCATATAAAATGTCCAGGAAATTAATTTTAACACTCACACGCGGCAGGTTGTTGATTTTTTTTAATTTCCCTGAAATCTTAAAAAATGTATATTAGATCTTAAGATTAGATTATATTAGGCCTACAATTACATTACTACTTTATTTTTCTATTCAAAATTTTACTCAAAATATTGTACTCTATGGCAGTGTCAGTGTCATCATATTCATATTTCAATGTTTTTAACATCAATTTTTAGACCTATCATTATTATTTTGTATTTTTATAGGTCTTCTATAAAACGCCGGTAATGTAAATTATTTGAAGTTAATCTATACATGTAGACCACGCTCTCGTATTTATTTTTAGACGAATACCGGTACATTTGCATTTTAGAAGAATAATTTAATCAAAGTATGCCTTTCTTATTGTAAAAGTACTTTCAAATACATTATGGTAATGTGGTTTGACTCCGAAGTATTATTTTGTTAAAGCTGTATTTGTGAAAAAAAAATGCAGTTGATGAAATTGCATATCGTATTGTCTATGGTAAATTATGAAAATCATCAAACATTTATTAACATTGAATGACTTATTCCAAAGATTGGATACGATTTCTTACGAAAGTTCGAAGACGTATTCTAAGTGGTATTGTATTGTCTGTGGTAAATTATGGAAATCATCAAACATTTATTAACATCAAATTACTTATTCTAAAGATTGGAGTAGATTTCTCACGAAAGTTAGAAGACGTACCGTATTCTAAGTGGTATCGTATTGTCTGCAATAAATTATGAAAATCGTCAAATTTTAACATCAAATAACTTATTCCAAAGACTGGATTCGATTTCTTACGAAAGTTTTAAGACGTAATAATAATAATAATAATAATAATAATAATAATAATAATAATAATAACAATAATAATAATAATAGTTTTATATAGCGCACATATCCATCTAATGTAAGATGCTCAGGGCACTTGATATGTGGACTAGGAACTCGATCAATGACTTTCTTTGCCCCTAAGGGTCCCTTTCGTGTCTGGGCTACCCGGTAACCCGGTACCAGCAACTCTCGTCGTCCACCGCATACACGTCCACCACATACACGTATTCCAAGTGGTATCGTATTGTCTGTGATAAATTATGGAAATCGTCATTTATTTATTAACATCAAATTACTTATTCCAAAGATTGGAGTAAATTTCTCTCGAAAGTTAGAAGACGTATTTGTGAATTTGTCAGTACACAGCATACAATTCCCTACATTTTTCCGAAGAGTGTACTGCCTTCTTTAAAGTGCATAGGCCTATGGGACCAATGGTAAAGTTAATGACTTGTAGAGCATAATCAATGCCGTAGCCAGGATTTTGAAATAGTGCGGGACAATATCGGAGTGGACCCACTTTACGTGTAAATTCAAATAAGGAGGACCAATTTTCTTAAAAGTTGACCCATTTTACGCAAACAATATGAAAAATATGGACCCATTGTCTTAAATATTTACCGTACTAATTTTATGCAAAATATGAGCAATCTGCCCCCCCCCCACTCTTTTTTTTAAAAGAAAGCGGACTAATTTTTGCATAATAAAACAGCATAATTTGGAACCATTTTTTAAAAATGTGGACCCATTCTTTGTGTACCCAATAGAAAATTGTGTGGGACTGTTCCAACTGTCCCAATAGCTGGCTACGGCATTGAGCATAATATCAGATATCTCTTCGCTGGCCAGGACGGTAAACTTATCTGAAGGACGGTGAGCTATTGAGACTTACATTTTGAAATGCAAAAATCCTCCTGCTGCGGATACAAAGAGCGCAACAAGGAGCGCGCAGCGGAAAGAATCACCTGGTTCAGCGCAAACACGTTTACTTACCTCACTTTCTTTTGTAACGATTTCATGGAAAACAACCAATATTATTTACTAACACACTACCACCAATTTAGCCAAATGACTTAACTGCTTTCTAATGATTAATTGCTTTCAAAAATCCTCAATTCCATTATATGAACTTTCAATAAAACAGACCTCTAAATAATCCATCCAGTTTTTCATAATTAACTACGAATCTTTTAATTGAATTTACCAAACAATAGAACGCCTAGGCTATGTAAATAATGAAGAAAGTGTAAATGGGCTATGAATTTGTTTAATTGGTGAGAACAATATTTTCTTTTTCTAACCTCTGATTAATTTTAATACTCACATAAATATGTTACGTATCGAGACCGGTAGACTGGATTCTAGTCTGTAAATTTAATTCCTAATCAGTGGAAAATATAAAAAATAATTGAATTTGGCACCAATGGCGTTCCATTACTTCTTTGCACCATGGAAGACCGGTCGAACTAATACCTTTCACGATCTAGTTTTTGTCAAAAAATTTGCTATTTCCTATATTCAGAAAAATAAAATATTATGATTCGTTTTGTGCGTTAATCTATTTTTCTATGTTAATATTAGCCTTTTGACACACCTGAACCTGATTGATATGATATATATGCCAAGGAACAGCGCAGAAAAATTGGTCACCGGTTATAGCTAAAGGCTCGCACGTCGAATTTATGGGCTGGCAGATGAAACATTTCACGGTTTCGTCATCGAACCATTGTCAGCACTTCTGGGTTATTGCTAACTGGACACTTTGAGGGAATAAGAAATCAATACATTTTGACAGTCATGTTTTTCTTGCAATTAATGAGGGCCTGGTCGTTTCATTACCACCGTCATATCAGTGGCGACTGATTTAATAGATCAGCTTACTAAGCTACATTTTACTTCTCAAGAAATCATTATCTCAAGTAACATCACACCCTAATCAATAAGTAAAAGGCAATAGATCTGCAAGTGAAGCGGTGATTATGGAACTGCATTTGATGAGACTAAAGGTTGAAAATGTGTAAATTAGGCCTATATAACGAAATACAACAGATAAATGTCCTTGTTTTCTTGCTATTTTCCTGGGTTGATTTCTAATAAATTTGGCAAACAGAATTCACTCTGTAGCCCAAAAAATAATTTTTAATATCAGGGTCGTCATATTCGTCAGGTTTAAGCCGGCATGTCATTTTTTACCTAATTTCATTTTTCTTCTTCTTTTCATTTTTGTATCTAGTCCGATATCTGCTTTAGTGGAATGGTTATTCTACTTTCGGCACTCCAATGGTCTTATTTTTATATAAAGGCGCGACTTGGTTTTTTTTTTTTTTTTTTTTTTTTTTTTTTTTTTTTTTTTTTAAATTTGGGGTTTTATTTTGTTACACGAATATAACACATTTTATTTATTAAAAAAACCCACAAATAATTAAAAGGGAGGTTTTGATATCGACTGAAATAAATTGAATATGACCAATAGAAAATTAAGGGCTTTTTGATAGCATTTTCATGGTGCATTAAAAGTGTATAATAATAGCATATAATTATCATATAATAATCATATAATTGCACAATATTTTCCGTGCCAAAAACACGTCCATTATGGGTAAAGGGAAGCGTTTCAAATCGTACCTGTGTTAGCCATACCATCATACTCAGGTGTTGGTACTTCTCGTTCTGTGAAAAGCAAACATACATTAGTTTCAATAATAAGTATGAATAAGTTTTTCATTACGTGTTATTCATTTTTATAATTGGTGAAGCCAGAAATACATACATGTCACCAACACGCAAGCTTTACGCAAGGTAATGGAAGCAAACTCAAGTCATGTTTCTTGGTTGGTGGCTAGATTTGCTGTCATTTTGTTATGAGACCTTAGCAACAATATCCAAGAGGCGGGTCTTAATGAAACGGTCCATTACACAGGACGACAATATCTAAATCCCTACTCTTTTTCTAACCCAGTTTAACCAAGGAATTTTAACAGCACAGTTAAAAGTCCTTGGTATAACATCCTCATGAACGATATTATAAGAATACGTAGAACCAACGGCTTAAACATTATTCCGTGTTTGATTTAGATGTATTTAATTATCTCAAAGCATGTTAAATACGTTTTATATTTATATTTTACATTAATGTATTAATGTCAATTTCAATGTATTTATAGGCCTTCGTTTAATGTATAAACTTAATTTTGTATTTAATTATCAATGGTTCCAAATAAACAGGTAATAAAATGGGTAGCTTGAATATAGCTTAGTATCAATAATTGTAGAGGCATTTATACACTTTTGATGAAAATGATGACGACAAATCATGATGAAACGACAGTAACGGTGATTATAACGATAATGACATTATCGATGATGATTATGATGATGATGATGATGATAATTACAATTATGATGATAATGATGAAGATGATGAGGATGATATCGATGATGGTGATAATGTTATATGATGCTACTATCTACTACTATTACTATTACTACTACTACTACTGCTACTAATAATAATAATGAAGATGCTATTGTCCTTGATGATGATAATGATGATGATCGTTTTAATGAGGAAGATGATTATGACAATGATGATGATAATTAAATGATGATGAAAGTAATGATGATGATGATGATAAAGACGATGAAGATGATAATGATGTTGATGACAAGGATGACAATGAGTGCCGGGGGTGGCGCCAGGATTTTCCCGACGGGGGTCCGAGGTCCCAAAAGGGGTGGGGAGGCAGGCGATGCTGTCGTGTGCAAAGAGGGCGTGGTCGGTCGTTAGTCAAAATGTTTCGAAAATGATCATCGGGGCGAACCCCAGAAAATTTGACAATTTAGGGGTTCCAAGACTTATTTAATCGATTTTAGAGTCAATATGTAAAGAAAATACAAGTAATAGTTTTCCTCTCCGAAGAATTGTGATATTTCTGCCCGACCGGAAGGGGGGGGGGTGCCTATCCCCAACTGCGGCACTGCTCCAACGGGTGCTACCATTGGATAATGATAACGTTGATCATGCTAAAATAATAATTTTGCTTTGGTTGACGATGGTGAAGATTTAATAGCGCTGCTATTGTTAGGGACGACTATTAATAATTTTAAAATGACGATGTAGAGGAACGGCGTCGACAGTTACGACAGCAACAATGACGATATAATGATAATGAAAGATGATGATGTTGACAGCAATGACGATTAGAATAAATATGATGATTTCAAGTGAATAACTTGCATTTAAGGCTAAAATGTGAAAATGGCTACAGTGCAAGACAGAATGGTATTAAGTAACCTTGAATTACGTAAGACAGAAAAATGAAAATTATAAGTTAGTGTTATGAAGGAATGTTAGCCTAGCTAATCCAAGCAGTACATTTCTCCTCATCTTAAGTTGAGTGTTGAGTCTGCATGCCATTAGCAGTAATTAAGTCTCGAAATACAAATCAATACGCATGAAAATTTCTGATTGCTCGGCTAAGGATTTAATTTTGCTGATGGCATGCCGAGTAAACATTCATGAGAGGCAATCGTTGGGATCATTAAAACTTTTCCGAATCTTGAGCGCTTTTAAAATTGAGCACATTAAAGACGCGTCCTCACAGCATGCAAAATGTGTTAAACGCGCTGGATAGTAGTTTCGTATTATGAGCCGAAAACGAATTGAGAATTACTCCAGCCATGAACATCTCATATTGTCGTTTGTATTTGCTTTTAATATAACGTTCTGTTTCATTTCCTATCAAATTTTCTGCGTGAGCACTTTATGGCGAGAACTAGCTGCAATAGTGTGTATTTGAAGCTGCAATAATTACCGTGTGAAATGTGTCTTGCTTTTGTTAGAATAAAACACACTAAGATTGATCAAATACCGATGGTGTTGTAGCTAATTACATATTAGAATTCTAATAGAAGGGTTCACGACAGGTTAATTTAGTAAGACAGTGTTTCATTATAATTATATAGAACTATAGTACACATGTGTTCACGTATAGAGATAAACTCGAAACCGTCTTGGTACTATATATACATTTTAAAAGTTTGGAGTGGAGTTCAATAGCATGGTGGTTATAATAAGATGTTTGCCTCTGAATCCCAGGGTCCTGGGTTCAATTCCTGTCACGGTAACAGGATTTTTCTTACGACCAAAACAACTCCCCTCCATAAGCGCCTTAATGAGACCTTTCTCTAGAGAATTAATTGTTTTTGGCTTGTGAAGGGATAGGATTAGAAGAGTGATAAGTTCGCTGTTTGGCATCCTTGGCCTGGGGATAAAAGCCATGAAAGAAACCATTAGCCAATTAAAAAATGTACGTGGGATAAAATGTATCAATAAACATTGGATAAATAAAAAATATTGACAAGGCTCTTAGGAACATATGACATGTTACAATCGTCGTTATTTATTTTTTTGATTGTTTATTAATGTAGAGAGGTACGAAGTGTATTTCTAAGATTAGTTCCACATGTATAGTGTGCTATAATCAGCTCAGCGCAACTTGTGCAGGCAGCCACACCATGTACCCATTTATACTCACGGGTGGGAGAGAAGCAACGCAGGGCAAACAAAATGCACAACGAAAAATTGAGCCCCTGGGGCGCGAGGTTGGCAAACCAAACCGCTTAAGATCTGTTTACACTATGACGATAATGATCAACGATAAAAAGCTAAAAAGCAATTGTTCATATAGAAAATAAAAGAAATAAGAGGTGTTTTCACACTAGCACGACTCGATAACGATTTATCGTGTATACGATAAATAAATAATTTCACAAATAAAAAATGACGTCATAACGATAAAATAATTCCAAAGGCCTGTTTACACTATGGCGATAACGATCGACAATAACAGGCTAAAAAGCAATTGCTCATATAGAAAATAGAAATAAGAGAAGTTTTCACTCTAGCACGATTCTATAACAATTTATCGTGCATACGACAAAAACATATTTTCACAAGCGTTGCTCCAAACCACCCCCTCATCATCGTCATTGTCATCATCACCACCACCATTATTATTATTATCATCATTATTATTGCATTTATTAATAATGTCAGTATTATTATTATCATAAAATTCAAACTATCAAATAAGTGAATATGCTTACCACATTATTAATTTGGCTCAAGTACAACTCAACCGATACAGTAATGTTATTATTTTCATCTCTAACTGGTCGCACAAGCTTATTGTAGTCACTTGTCTCAAATAAGTTATCGAAGAGTTTTTTCTGCATATCTGAGCCTTGTGTTCCTACAAAACAAAGAAGTACTGGTGACAATATTGTAATGCTTATTAAGATTAGAGAAAGAAGATGATAATGATAATAAGTATAAAGATGATAACAAATACTGTATATGGATAATAATGTCGGTGATAATACTCTGAAAAATATAGTGATTGCGATAACAATAATGGTGATAAAATGATGACAATAGTGGTAATGATAATAATAACTATAATTATAATAATGATAATAATCCTAATATTAAAATGATAACAACAATGATATTGAAAATGATAATAATGATGACGATGATAAAGATAAAGTTAATGATGATAATAATAATAATAATAATAATAATAATAATGGTGATATGATAATAGTAATAATAATATAAATAATAATAATGTTTATGACGCGTCGATTTTAATGATAATAATAACGATGATGATGAGGATGAAATTTATGATGATTAAGTCGTATGTATCTTTATCTTTGTTTCTGTAGGTAGCTTTGATCAGTAGAGTAAGAATGCTTTGATCTTTTGTTTAAATCACTGCTATGTCACCTACTAGAGGTAATGTTTTGATTGGTTAAACACTTTTGGTACTAGTGCATATGAGCTTGCTAATATGGATAATTTTTTCATTCCTGATGATGACCTAATTAATGTCGAAATATTGAATCCCAACACGATGGCGTGCATTTCAATACTTGGAGTATTATACTTTCTTATCAGTGGACCTTTCGGTTTTTGTCGTATGTGTTGTTTATGATTATGATGATATGAAAATCTGTTTCATATTTTCAAAGTTTCTGTGCTAAGTAAGCATTGAAAAACATAACAAAGTCGCCCAATAAAATTTGGTAAAAATTTGTTTATAATCGATCGTAAAAGTATCACACTTGGTTGGTGTTAGCTGAACCTACTGCTGGTGCTCTAAATAATACAATAACTATGTAAAGTTAGTGTTTACTATTAATTCATGAAGACCATTCACATATGAGCAATAACCTTTAACCTTTCATTGTTTTTCTCTACTCATGGCGCCATGATGAGAGAATTCTGCTTCTAATCATGATTCCAATGATGGTATATTTTTTTCATAATTGTTTTACATTTCTTTCCCATTTTCATTTTTGTATTGTATATCATTATTGTATTGTTTACCATTATTGAATAAACGTCATTTGAATTAAATTGAATTGAATTGAATTGGAAAACATAACAAAATCGCTCTAAGAAATTCGGTAAAATTGTTTGTAAACGATCCTTAGTATTACACTTGATTGGTGTTAATTAAATATTGCTGGTGCTCTATATTATGTATACGATAGCTATGGAAGTATAGTGTTTAAGAATTTATTCATGAAGACCAATCACAGAGCAATAACCTTAGCCTTCAATCAAATAATTCGGTCATCGGAGTGTTCAAACACTTAGGAATTTATAGCATTAATAATAGACCAATAAATATACACATTCACCTCTATATTATACAAAGCAGTTATAAACAGATGCTAGTCTAGATAGAAATTATTTCACAAAAGTTAGATTAATGTATGAAGAGTTTGAAGGAAATTATTTTTTGTGAGTGTATTAATGTAAACCAAAGTGGAGTGGTGCTCATCTTGCGCATGGAATAAACTATAGGCCCTATCAAATGCAGATTAATGATGATCTTTTTCTGCAACCCGAAAACAAAATTGGGGCTGCCAAATTTTGTACATGAACTGTGTTCCTTATTGACTTCACCCTCCTCTTGCATTTGAAAAAATACTTTTTATATTATATTATATTATATTATATTATATTATATTATATTATGTTATTTTATATTATATTATAATTATTATAATTATTATTATTATTATTATTATTATTATTATTATTATTACTATTATTATTATCATTTATTTTTATATTGATTGGATTTTCTAATGAACAAGGGTTAAAGACCACTGCCTGTATTTGAGGAAGTATTTATGCTATATTATTATTATTAATGTTATAATAATTATATTAACATTGGTTTTAAACACTTAATCTGGCCATCTTGTTTAGAAAAATTTTCTCTTCATTGGTAATAATATTTCCTAATACTCATCAGTGCACTATACCGGTACTCAATAAACTTTATTTTCCATGTAAAATATGTACATATACAATGAAATATGCTTTGGTTCTTTAGAATAGACAGAACAAAAACGTTCCTGGGAAATAATCAATATGGACAGTTTGTTCCAGAAAAAAATTATAATCAATAATATTCATTGAATAATGACACCCTGTTGGTATTCACTTAATGAATTGCACTTTTTGACTGCATAATATATCATGTTTGAGGTTTGTAAGACTATTGAACTACGGAAGTTCAAATTAATCACTCCAGAAAAAATATCTAGGCGGATTTTATAGATCAGTGACAATTAGCTTTAAGCCAACTAATTCGATAATTGCAATGTTCAAACAACAATACGTACAATTATTAGTTATCCTGGGCATACTATCACTTACAATTATGGAAAGATGTGTAAATGTTGATCTGGTTTTTGTCTACACAGTGAACATCGTCTGAAGAATTCTACTGTGAGGTCAAAAGCTTGAGCTAAATTAATTTACAGTTTCTGCTGAGTACTGTTTGCATTTCATTGAATTATTAATAAATTCAGGGACATAATTTTTATTTTTGTCTTTATATATATATATATAGAGTTCATAGAGGCCTTGTTGGCATATTGTAGCAATAAAACTCATGGTGAATTAGCATTACAGTACCCGCTGCTACTTGGAGATCGTATTCAACACCTGTGGTGGGTTCAAGGATGGGCCCAGCCGCCCCCTCCCCCTTTTTCAAAAATGAAAAAAAAAAATTCTTCTAAAAATTTTAGTCTAAGAGTGTCATTTCCAGCCATCTAGAGGTGCCATAATCATAAATTTTCTAAACTCAGCTCCAACTATGGTGGGGCTGAGGTATTATTCACAGTCTTTCTCTAAAATTCCCTCTCTGGGTTCCTCTATTGCAAATTCCTGGATCCGCCACTGAACATTAAGCAAGAGATCGGTGATCTAGTGACACAAACACATCGAAATAGGACTCATTTTGTCATTATTTATACTATTATTATTAGGCCTATTCCATGTTTATAAAACATGTTTACATTGCCAAACAAACACTTTTACCTGAAGAAGAAGAGCACTCTGCTAGAGTAATGTCAAATAAAATGAGTCTTCAAAAGGCTATAATTTTACAGTGTTTTATTTACTATAATCAGACTCGTACGACTTTTTTTTATTTTTTTTTTTATAAAACTCAGACTAAAATAAGCGTATTTTTTTTACTATAGCATTGGCGGATCCAGGGGGGGGGGTTCAAGGGGTTCGGACGAATCCCCCCCCCCCACCTCTGTGAAGAAACGTAACAAAATACTACTGAGTCCTGGCTTACAAAATGCATGCTAACCTACCTAGGCATACGGTTTGGTAATAATATATTGACTATAGGCCTATCTTTGATTTATTTTCTATGGTATAGGCCTAAGAATGAGATAAAATCACCTGACCTTTTTTTTCTGAGGGGTACAACCTTGAATTTTGAAGAAATTAAAGGTCATTAAAAGACAACACAGAAGTCGGGAAAGCTCATCCCCCAACAGGATCCCCAACCCCCTTTCATTTTTGGGATTATGGGAAAATGAACCCCCTCTTTCAAATCCTGGATCCGCCCCTGTATAGCATGACTGGGGACATTCTCATTCTCTTTTCTGATAAGGGTTCAGAATGGACATTCGCATGAGCATAGCGTCATACTGGAATAATGTTTCTATAGTGCGATAATATATACAGCTGCTTATAAAAACATCTACTGATTGACTGACTGACTACTGACTGACTACTGACTGACTACTGAATGACTACTGACTGACTAACTGACTGACTGGTTGATTAATTGATTAATTGATTGATTGATTAATTGATTGATTGATTGATTGATTAGTTGGTTGGTTGGTTGGTTGATTGATTGATTGATTGATTGATTGATTGATTGATTGATTGATTGATTGATTGATGGCCCTAGAAGTGGAGCAGTGATGATAATTTCTTTCTGACATCGATAAAAAAAAATTCGTTATGTTTAAATATATGCCATTTGATTTCTTTCAGAGCAACAGTTTAATTATCAAAAAATATGCCAAACTGAATTATCAGTTGAAATTAATAAGCACACTTGAGCAAATACTTGTTAAATTACTCGGATATAATCGACCGGGTGTCCCTCGGCAAATTCTCTCGGGATGTGTTAATTGCCGATATTGTCTGCTTGGCCTAGCGTTTATTCTCCCTTTACGAAACTAACTCGACTAATGAAATCACTGATGACTTAAATGCCACCGGCTGAGTATTGATTTCGTCTCAAATGTGTTTTTCTTTCAGTATTATGCAAACCACTAAGTCAGTTGACTTGAACGTTCATCAATGGGTAAGATTCAAGATTTCTAAGCGAGAGTTACCGTAGAGGTGTAGTTACAACCTGAGTCAGCATTAAAATTGAAAAAAATAAATAAAAATCAAATTGTCGCCTCGCCTGTCTAGCCTGTTCCCGATCCTGTCGATGGTGCATCGTAAAAAAGCCCACGGCAATATTCCACGTTAAACCTGAAGAAAATAACGATTTACTGGAAAAGATGGTGTTTTGACTTTATTTTAATCGCTAAAACATGTTATTGATCTTAAGCGTTGAATCCCGTATTAACTTTAACGATTTTTTTAAATGCCGTGGAGTAGACCTAAGTGCTTGTTATGCTCAGATACCGTACATGCTCAGGTGCTTTTGGGCATAAAAGAATTTAAAAAGATGATCTATCGCTTTATATTGTTCAAATTAGTGTGTTGTAATATAAAATAATAATACACAAAACAGTAATGCAATAATAGACAGTAACTTAAATGCGGTTTATCAAAATAGTTTTATTTCGTCACATAGTCAATCCGTTTGACCCTACAAACCCCATCAATTTTGTTAGTAGT